CGCCAAGCTGAAAACCGTGCAGGGCGTGGTGACGAGGTACTGCAGCGACTACGGCATGATCGACGACCTCATCTACTTCTCCAACGACGTGGTGACGAGCAAAGTGCTGCTGAGCGTGGGGCAGGAGGTCATCGCGGTGGTGGAGGAGGATAAAGTGTCCAACGGGCTGAAGGCCGTCAGGGTGAGGCCCGCCTGGGCGGGAGCTTCTTCCGGGTTCCGGGTTCCGGGCCGCCCGCCCGCGTGGCCTCGGAGGCACCTGGCTGACGGGGGAGACGGGGTGTTCCTGCCCGGGCGCATTTGTTCTCGCGGTGGTTTCCGTTTAAAAAGTCAGCGGTGGTCATTGTAACTCGAACACCGTAGACACGTACCCTTCGTAAGTTTGCCTGTAATTTTAGACTGTGGAGGTGAACGCGGTGGACATTTCTGCATTCTTCTAGTCTTCAAAAAATATTGTTAAAAGTAGCAGTCACTGGACCCTGTGTCATCCCTTTGGCGGATCCTATTATTCAGCAACTGTTTTATTTGCAAATAGTACTTTCGTAATTTCTTGGAAGTAGGATTGTTAGGCAAAGGGTGTGCACACTTCACACTTCAGTGGTTGGCGTCTGATTACTTCCCAGTCACGTTGTACTAATTGCACTCTTGGGAGCAGGTGGAAGGCTGGCTGTTCCCCAAGGTTGACAAGGGCATGGATGGCTCACTCTTGTGAATCTTTGCCAATCTAATCAGTGAACAGTTATCTCGTAATTTTATTTTTCACTTGTTTTAAAATAATTTAATATTTCACTTTTTTTCTGTGAAATATTTTTGTGTCCTTTGTCCATATTTTTTGTGGGGCTCAACTTTTTAAGGAAATTAGATCTTTTAAGGGAAAGTTGGTATATGAAAGTGTTGCAAATATTTTCCCCAACATTATCTTTTTGCTTTGATTTATAGTTTTTTGTAGTTAAATGTGTCTGTCTTTTCATTGTAGCTTTTGAGCTCTGTAAGAAACCTCAGCCTGGCCAGGAGATCACGGTTCGATTCCTGGTCAGGGCACATGCCTGGGTTTCGGGTTCAATCCCCAATGGGGGATGTACAGGAAGCAGTTGATCCATAATTCTCTCTCATCATTGTTTCTACCTCCTCTCCCTCCCTTCCTCTCTGAAATCAATAAAAATAATATATTTTTAAAATTATTCATTAATCCAAGAGCATGGCCATTAGTTTTAGCTCTTAAATGTAAGTCTTTGATCCATTTTGAGCTAATCTCTGAGTATGGTGTTGGATAAGGGTCTGACTTCTTTCTTTTGCGTATTGGTATCCAGTTTTCCCACCATCATGTTTTAGAAGCCTTCACCGTGGGGAAACCCTCTCCGCGTTGAATGGCCTTGGGACCTGGTCAGGCAGCTCAGTTGGTTAGAGTGTTGTCCCACCAAGGCTGTGGGTTAAATACATACCCAGATAGGACACACACAAGAATCAATCAGTGAATGCACAGGTAAGTCGAACAACAGATCCATGTTTCTCTCCCTCCCTCCCCCTCCCTCCCTCTATCTATCCATTCATCCATCCCTCCCTGCCCCTCTTTCTCTGTAAAATAAATAAATTTTAAAAGAAAGTCTATTGACCATACATGCCGTTTATTTCTGGAATCTGTTCCTGTGCCTGTCCTCATGCCAGTGCCAGTGTTTGGTGACTATAACTCTGTAGCAAGTTTTGAAATCGAATGTGGAACTTGCAGCTTTGTTCTTCCTTTTCAAGATCGTTTTGCTACTCAAGGCCCCTGGGAGACAGTATGAATTTTAGGAGGGTTTTCTCTTTCTACAGGGTCACTGGGATTTGGATGGGGATTGTGGTGAATTTCTAGATTGCTTAGCACAATATTGACATTTTAATATAAGTCTTCCAATTCATGAACAGTGTCTTTCCATTTGCTTGTGTCTTTAACTTCTTCCAGCCACTTTTTATAATTTTCGGTGTATAAGTCTTCTCCCTCCTTGGTTAAATTTATTCCTAAGTTTCTTTTGCTTTTTGATGTGTCTGTATGTAGCAAATTGGTTTTTTAATTTCACTTTTTGGAATATTCATCGCAAGTAATTTTTGTTGATTTGTATCTTGCAACTTTGCTGAATTCATTTATTAGCTATAACAGTTTTTTAATGGAATATTTAGTGGATTTTTACATATAAGATCATGGCATCTGTAAGCAGAGATAAATTTACTTCTTCCTTTCCAGGTTAGATTCCTTTTCTTTCTTTCTTTCTTCTTCTTTTTTTTTTTTTTTTTTTTTTTTGCCTGTTGCTCTGGCTAGACCGTCCAGTGCTGTTTTGGCAGAAGTGGCAAAAGGAGGCACCTCATCTTGTTCCTGATCTTAGAGGAAAGGCTTTCAGTGAGTGTCGCTACTGACCGTGACGTTGGCAGGACACTGCACACGTGGCCTTGGTGGTGTCTGTGCCTAGTGTGCGGAGTGTTGCATCCCGAGAGCAAGTTGCGTTTGGTCAGGTGCCTTCTCTGCACCCCGAGAGGACGGTGGTTTTCCGGCTCCTCCAGTGTGTGTGTCCCGTGGTGGAGTTCCTCATTGACCCGCCCTTGCCTCTGGGATAAGCCCTCCTCGCTTGTGCGTAATCCTTTTCCCCTTTTCATAGTTGGCTGCATTCAGCTCGCTGGTCTTTCATTGGGGGTTTTTGCGCCGCTCTTCACAGGAGGTGCTGGTCTTCAGCCTGCTGTCCTGTGGGCCTCTGGTGCTTTAACAGAGGTTGGTTTGTCTCAGGTGGAAGCTGTTTCCGATAAGTGGGAAGAGGACAGCAAAAACCAGGGCAGAGGACTGTCCGACTCCAGCCCCCGGGTGCTGATTGGCTGTGTGACGTCGCTGATGAAGGGCGCCGGCTACATCAATCAGACCACATACTTCTCTCTGAAGAGCGTTTGTGAAGGTCAGCGGGGTGGCTTTCTCCTTCACATTAAAAAGTGGGTTTTCCATTTATGTCTTAGATTCGCAATGGTTAGTGCGTCCCTGAGAGGGTCAGATGGGGGCGCGTTTTGTATGTTGAGAGAGTCTTGGACTGGACGTGCTATCGTTTGTGCTCATTCGTGGATGCAGCCATGGTCTCTGAGTAACCGCTCCTTTCACATCGTCATTGTTGCCTCGGACACACGGGCACTGCTGTTTCTCAGGCGCTTCACACGCTTGAAGGGGGTGTGGGGACCTGCGCCTCCCAGGAGCACGTGTCCCTGTGTGATCGCACTTGCTTGAGCTGATCGCAGATTTTGTTTTCGTGCCTAAAGAAGTAAGTCGGTGCCCTCAGTTAACTTTAACTCGCAGCGTCTGGGGCGCCTGCTGGGCACAGTGGTAGGAGGGCAGCAACAGGGGGCCTGAGACAGTGGCTCTTCTTCCCACACAGACCATCCCATTCGGAACCCAGCAGGAACTGGCAGAGCTGGGGGCATCTGAGCTGAACTCCAGCCCCGGGCCCTGCAGGGCGCCTGCTGAGAGGTAGGCGTGGGACTCCCCACCTGGGCTGTGGGCATCAGCTCATCCTGCCGGGAGCCTGCTGTGTCTCGACGGCCATGAAAGCTGGGAGCAGCCTTGACTGCTAACCTTGGGAGCCCCCGAGTGCAGTGGACAGGTGGCTGGGACAGTGTGCTCATCACCAGCTCCCACAGGAGCAACTCGGGGTCCAGTTCCGTGCTCTGTCCTTTGGGCCTATTGCTGTCCGAAGTGCTTATTGCAAAAGAACCAAAAGGCTGTCTCTGTGGTGCCTGGACACCAGGCACCACAGCCATCCTGCCCAGACTGCTCCCCTGCCTTGTGTCAGGACGGCATTCCATGCCACTGAGCTTCCCAGCCTGCCAGAGGGGGCGGGCACCTTGCACCCTGCAAGCCATGGCACCGGCCACCGCACGGCTACCTGGCAGGCCACCTGAGCTGGCAGAGACCTAGCTGCCAGCCCTCAGTTCCCCTCTTCCCCAGCACCCTGGGTCCCTAAGTGGGAGGGGCACTCACTGCATCTGGGCAGAGGTGGTAGGGACAGGGTGTCGTGAAACTGTCCACCACACATGCGCCCACACCTTCTAGAATAGCGGTTCTCAACTTGTGGGACGCGACTCCTTTGGGGGTCGAATGACCTTTTGACAGGGGTCGCCTAAATACATCTTGCATATCAGATATTTACATTATGGTTCATAACAGTAGCAACATTACAGTTATGAAGTAGCAACAAAAATAATTTTATGGTTGGGGGTCACCACAACATGAGGAACTGTATTAAAGGGCCGCGGTGTTAGGAAGGTTGAGAACCACTGCTCTAGCAGGTGGAGGTGATGCAGGTGGAGGTCTGCTACTGAGCTGATTGTGTTGCCGCTAATACCTGGGGTTTTTAATGAAAAGTATGGGGAATCTCTGAAACCAGATGGGCTTCTGAGACTGCGCACCAGCTTCGTGGCTGCCTGGGCGTGGGCCTGTCTGGCAGGGAGAGTCAGGCTGAGGGGAGGAGGCCCTGCAGCCGGGTGGGTCTGCAGGAGACTCGGGGTAACTGTCCCTGTGGGCAGAGCACCAGTGCCCCGTCCCTTCCGAGGGGTGGACACTGGGGGGACAGCCTGGGTGACGCTGCCCCCCTGCCTCGGAGGTTTCGAGCCGTGCAAGGGAGACTGGGTGGAGGCCACCTACTGGATCCGGCCGGGCACATGGAGCAGCGAGGCCCTGTCGGTGAAGCCGCTGCGGTACAAGCGTGTGGACAAGGTAGGTGCTGGCCCTCGCTGGTCCCTGTTCCCCGGGGGACACTGGGTAGGTCGCCCGTCAGGTTCCGTGTTGGCCAGAGAAGACCACCCCGTGTGCTGTCGGGTTTAGTCCTAAGTGCCCCGCCCTGCTTGTGGGCAGTGAGGTAGGTACAGGACTTGGGCGTGTGGGGTGGCAGCGTGTGAGGGGCCTCAGCTCCAAGGCCCCTCAGCTCCAAGGCCCCCACAATGCGTTAACGTCAGGGCATTGCTCCGAGAACAGGGTCCCCACTGCCCCCTGAAGTCCCCCGGGCGAGGGGAGGCCGCGGTCACTGGGCCTTTGTTTGGGGGCCAGTGGGCCGGCCGGTTGGTGAGGCTGTCTGCACGCTGTGCCCACAGGTCTGCATTTCCAGCCTCTGTGGCAGAAACGGGGTGATCGACGACTGTGTCTTCTTCACCCTGGACTCTCTGAAGCTCCCTGAGGGGTACGTGCCGCGAAGGTACGACGTGGTCAGCACCGTGGTGGTGGAGAGCAGCCAGTCCTGCTACATGTGGAGGGCCCTGTGCGTGACCCCCGTGAAGAGACGGTGAGGGCCCCCGCCGGCTGGGCTGAGGGTTACTGCGCGAGCCCAGTGGCCGTCTGCGTCCACGTCCGGTGGGTGGTGGTGGGCGGGAGGCGTCTCCCACAGGAGTTGATGGTGCTCGATCGGAGGTCGAGTGGAGGGCACCCTCCTGCCCTGGGTCTGGCCTGGGTGATTCTTCAGCAGGTTGGCGTTTTGTGGGCACACTGGACGTGCCGACTCCTACGTGACTGTCTCGTGTCTGTGTCCTCCTGCATTGCCAATGGCCTCCCTTCCCCAGGCCGTGGGCTCCTGCTGTGAAGCACCGCCTCCCCCTGCCTTTCCTCCTCAGCACCCACTTCCCGGGATCTCACCACACAGGGCCCCAGTCATGCTGCTGTCACCCCATCTCCTCACTAAACGCAAGCTCAGCCTGGGCGAGGCAGGGGGGTGCTGTGAGGGGCAGGTCGGCGGGCGGGACAGACTGACTGCGCTCAGGCTGTGGGAGTGGTTGGTGCGGCCTGTCACTCCAGCCTGGCCCCTCCTGTCCAGCTCAGGGTCATGGTCTTGTCCGGGTCCGCGTGTTCTCCCGGCGCCGACCTCAGCACGCGGTGATTTACTAATTGCTCTCTCGGCGGGGGCGGGGGGGGGGGGGAGGTGCTGTGTGCAGTGGTGGGTGCAAGCCAGGCCCCTGGCAGTGGTCGGTCCCTCCTGCTCCGCCTCCTTGGGCAGCCGTCCAGGGCTTGCTGGTCCTCCCTGGCCAGTGACTGACCCCAGGCCTGCTCAATGAGGCTCCTCCCTCATCTGCCTCAGGTAGCCGTCTCCCGGGACGGGGAGGCCCCGCCCTCAGTGCTGGGCTGGCTGCGAGCTGGCCCCATCCTCGACTCGGGTGTCCTCATCGCCCTCAGAGCGGGGCTGGGGGCTAAGGGGGGGAAGGAACTGGCTGGACCCCCTGTCTGGGCAGCACAGGGTCAGGGCCCTGTTGGCACTTGTGCAGGAGAGGAAGGAGGGGGTGGGGAGGCCTGTGTAGATGGGGAATTGGAGGGGCAGCAGCCAGCAGAGGGGGTCACTGGTGTGGTGAGAATGTCACTGCATTTGCACGTGGGTTGGTAATGCCCAGGTGTACATTACTGAAGGCCTGCACTCTGAGTGCCCCCGCAGGTGGGCCGGGCGGGCGTGTGCCTGGTGGGCCTCCTGGAGGCAGTGCTCAGGTGAGCAGTGTCTGGAATAAAGGGAAAGGGGCCTGGGTAGGGGAGAGAGCCTTCTCATTTAATTGTTTCAAATACTGTGAAGCAGCACAACGCTTCCCGAGTGAAAGCCTGCTGTCCCTAATAATCAGCCCACCCCCCTCCCCCAAGGCCCAGGACCGCCTTCGCGGTGTCACCGCCGCTTCGCCTCCTCTCTGGAGCTCGTAGGACTGTCACTCACCCTCGCGTGGCTGTGTCCTCGCGGGTCCTCAGCAGCTGGCCCTGCACCGGGTGTCGGGGACCTGGGAGGAGAGGCAGGTGGGCAGGGGCGGAGCCTGGGGAGGCAGCCTGCAGGTGCCTGACACTCTGTGGGGTTCTCCAG